GTATATATACATTTATGTAATATATATACCATGCTTTCAAGGTGCATATCAGCAAAATGGGACCCGAGCCCCGAGATATTTGCCCGAGGCGAAGCCGAGGGCCGATATCGAGGAGCGAGGGTCCCATATTGCTGATATACATCGAGAAGCCATGGTACATATAATATATTCTCTACTTACTGTAGCATCAATAATGATCGCCAAAAAAGGCTAACAGACTTTTAGTATTGCCATTGTTGTGCAACTTGCACATGCGTAATTGTTACATAATGATATTCATTAGATAGAACTGCGCATGTGCAGCAAACCAATACACATGATGTGACACGTTCTATAATTCTATTGTTTTCTTCTTGTTCGCTTGTTGTTCTTATCTTATCTTGTCATGAAAAGAAAGCGTGAGTCAGAGTCAGAGAAGCTTCTACCAAATAAGAGGCCTTCCCTGTCTACTAAAGACAGGCCCAGCTGATTTGTATATGTGACAGAGTCTGAATTAGAATCTTCTAGGAAGAAGTACTTTCCGCAAAACACCGAAAAGGCTACGAAGTGGGCAATCAAAGCTTTTACGGAATGGGCTGAAATTAGGAAGGAATCTGGAAGAGAGGCTCCTTCATCTGACATAATGCTAACGGGCAGTGCTAAAGCCGTTTGTGACGCATTGTGTCGTTTTGTCTCTGAAATACAACAGGCAAATGGTACTCCATATACTCCAAGGAGCTTATAGTCTATTATTGGTGGCCTTCAGCATTATATTAATACTAATTCACCTCATGCACATAAAATACAGCAACCAGATGGTGAGTTTAAACCACTTCACACTTGTCTAGAGAATCTCTATGTAAAGCTGCATGACCAAGGAGTAGGTACGACAAAAGTTCAAGCTAATGTCGTTATAGCAGAAGAGGAACAACAACTTTGGGAAAGCGGTGTGTTTAGCAATCAAACGCCTGAGGGACTACTAAATGCTGTGTTTTATTATAATGGTGTGAATTTTGTACTCAGAGGAGGAGAAGAGCACCGAAGCTTAAAATTATTTCAGTTTGATTTTGGTAGCATACCAGATCCAGAGTTTCCTGGCAAATCACTGGAGTATGTCGATTATAGTTAACATGGATCAAAAAATTGTTCAGGAGAGTAAACAACTAAATCTGGAAAATAAACAAGTACGTTATTATGTTCAATTACAGCTTGGTGATTACTGCCATGTTTCTTTGCTGAAATTGTACATCTAAAAACTTCCACCAAATACTGAAAATTTCCATTGCCGACCACTAAAAG